AATTCTAATTTTAGTTATATTCAATTATTTTGAGTTTTGAATAATTACTAAGTTGTTGACTTTTTAAAAGCAATTGAAATTAGGTTAAGTTAGTTCATTTTTATAATTATGTGTATCATATTATTTTTAATTAAATTAAAATTTAAAATGAGTAAAAAAAATTTTTATACTCAATTTGAATTTTGAATTGTTTCAAGTTTGAGTTATTTAATCCATGTTATTTTAACTATATTTTTATGACATAGGTAATAAATTTCAAAATAGAATGAGAACATAACATAATAAAAAATTTAAGTATAAAAATGAATGAGATACTAATGATAATTCTAAAAAGAAATTCTTACATCCAAATCTTATAGAGATTAAATGGTATATCTTATTTTGAGAACTTTTAAATTTGTATTACAAAAAATTAATTTAGATTAACTAGTTTATAATTGTTCATTTATTGATCAAATTGCTATTATTTGGGTTGAGTAAAATAATTTAAATATTTTATTTGAAAGAGATATTATAATTCATACTTATTTAGGAAGACTACATAGAATTAAATATTATTTGAGTTGTCATTAGAATTAAATATTATTTGAGTTGTTATGACACTTACAATATTCTTTATTCTTTTAAAATGGAGAAGTTGATTGATATCAAAATATCTAAAAAGTTTCGACAAAAAAATATAAAAAGCCATTTTTAATAATGGTAATAAGAAGCAACAATTAAAAATATAAGAAGTAATAATTAAAAATATATCATCTTTTTATTTAATGGTAATTTTTTTTTTTGTAGAGAATGTGAATGTAATTATTGTGAATTTAATATTTTTTAAAATTGTTGTCTATGTAGTTTTTATAAATTTTATTTAGTAAATATATTCTTATTACTTTTATCATATATATATAATAAAATTTTTACCCAAAATTATATCTTAAATATAGAAACAAAGGACAAGCTTTATTACTTTTATTGATGACAAAATATTTCAAAATTTTTAATATTTTAAATGCAACTGTACTTTGTTAATAGGTATGAGAATTACATACATTAAAAATTCAATCAAATCATTAATAAAGCTTATTTTAATACATACATTTTACCATAAACTAAAAATTTTGAAGAAGATCTTTAAAATATTAACTTAATCATATTGTATATATTTATTTAATTTAGTTTTGGTACTTGCATTAATATAAAAAGTTATGATTTTAACTTATTATTACGCGTTAAATTACTGATAGTAAATTAAAAGTATTTATTTATGCTTTTCAAGTTGTTTATATTTAAACATTTTATTACTTTCTATCTCTACTATACAGATTACATCATTTAATATACATTATAGTCACATTCTTTTTGGATATACATAAATCAATAGCAACATAGTAGTAGATAATTAATAATTTAGTAATTAAGAATTAAAAATTTAAAATTTAAATGTAATCAGTATAGCTTAATAACAATTATCAATAACTTAGTAGTAAATTAGAGGTAACTTAATATTAAATGAATGATAATTTAATAGTTAATAATTGATAACTTTTTAATAAATAAATAATAATATAATAAATACATCATACCTTAATGGTAAAACAATTATAATATAGTTATAAATGCATAACAATATAATACTAAATCAAAGATGACTAAAAAAAAGTGATAATTTAGTTATTAATTATTAATAACTTAATTATAAATTAATGATAACTTAATAATAAATTAGTGATAATTTATTAGTAAATTAGTTTCAGTTTAATAGTAATTAATCGATAGTAGTAAATCAGTGTAAATCAATGATAATTTAGTAATAAATAATGATAATTAAGTAGTTAATCATTGAAAATTTAAAAGTAAATCAGTATAATTTAATAGTAAATTATCAATAATTTAATAGCTAATCAATAATAACTTAATAGTAGAGCATGCTTATTTTAATATAAATCAATAATAATTTGATAATAAATCATAGATAATTTAGTGATAAATCAATGATAATTTGTCGTAAATAATCAAAAATTAAGTCGTAAATCAATGATAATATAGTAATAAATATATAAAAATATAATAATAGATCATTGATAATTAGGTAGTAAATTGACAATTTAGTAGCAAATCACTAATAACGTAATAATAAACTACTAACAATTTAGTTATAAATAAGTGATAATTGAGTAGTAAATTAGTTAATCATTAATAACATTTTAGTAAATCGTCGATAAATTAGTTGTAAATTTATAATAAATTATCAATAACTTAATAGTAAATTATTGATAATTTAATAGTAAATAATTGATAGCATAATAATAAATTACTACTTACATAATTGTCCATCGTTGATAATTTTTTTATACTCAAAGTTGTCAAGAATAAAACCATAGTTACTAGCATAAATGAAGTCAAAATTTTATTTCGGGATTAGGATAAATTTACCATAAGTCTATTCAATAAAAAATTAGTAAAAAATTTTAAGTTTGAATAAAATAATAATGTTATTATATAAAAAAAATTGTCTCATATATTATTAGTAGACTTTTAAATTATATATTTTATAATTGTAAATGCATAATAGCATATTAGTAAATCAATGATACATTAATAGAAAACAAGTGATAATTTAATAGTTAATAATTGATAACTTAATAATAAATTAATGATAAATTAATAGTTAATCAGTTTTAATTTAATAGTATTTTTTTGAGTAAACAAATTAATAGTAATTAATTGATAAACTTAATAGTAAAACAATGATAATTTAGTAGTTAATCATTAGAAACTTAAAATTAAATTAATATAACTTAGTAATAGTAAATCATCGATAACTTAATAGTTAATTAATAATAATTTAATAATAAATTGTGGATAATTTAATATAAATTAGTGATAACTTGATAATAAATCATAATCAATTCAGTAATAAATCTGTGATGATACTGTAATAAATAATCGAAAACTAAGTAGTAAATCAATAAATCAATAATTACTAAATGCATAATAATATAATAATAAATCAATGATAATTTAAATATAAATTGTTGATAACTTAGTAGTAAGTTAGTAATAATTTAGTTACAAATCAGTGATAATTTAGTTATAAATCAGTTATAATTTTGTAGTATATTAGTTAATCATTGATAATTTTATAGTAAATTATTAAAAATTAATATTAAATTAGTTATAATTTTATAATAAATCATCAGTAAATTAATAGTAAATCATTAATAATTTATTAGTAAATTATTTATAACTTAGTAATAAATCATTCATAAATTAATTGTACTTCAATGCTACTTTAGTAGTAAATTATTAATAATTTAGTAGTATATCATTGATAGCTTAGTAGTAAATTAATAATAAAGTAGTATTAAATCAATGATAACTTAGTTGCTATTCATTTATAAATTTTTATATTTGAAGTTGTCAGAAATTGAATTTTGGTTACTATAAAAACCGAAGTTACAAATTTCATCTTGAGAGATTAAAATAAATTTACTATGAACCTATTCAATAAAAAATCTAATGAAAAATTTTTAAATTTGAATGAAACAATAATATTATTATATAAAAAAATTATCTTATATTATAACTAGGGGTGTAATCGATCGAGTTCAAGTCGATATAATATTAAGCTCAAGCTCGAGCTAGACTCCAAATTTGAGGCTTGAAGCTCAGCTTGAACTTGATCGAATTTTATTTTTTTAACTTGAGATCGACTTGAGATAAAAATCAAGTTACTCGAGCTCGCTCAATTAAGCTCGATTAACATATAAAAATAAATTCGATTTTTATATTTAACAAAAGCTTGATGATTTGTATTCGAGTTCGAGATATTTTATCAATTAAAATAATTAAAATATATTAAAATATAAAAACTCAATTAAGCTCGTGAGCTACTCGAGCTAAGAATAATGATGCAGCTCGATTTATAAGTTGAGTTACTCGAGCTTGAGCTCGATTCGATAATGATCGAGCTGAATTTGAGTTTTATTTAAATCGAATCTGAGTAACTTACGAGTACTTATATATCATTTACATCTCTAACTATAACTTAACCATTGCTTTTTTGTGAGAAGCCATTATTAAATATACAATAGCACAAGTTTTATTAATAGCTACCAAAGTGTATCATAAATTACTTAAAACTTACTAAATTACATCAAATGATTATAAAAATTTTATTAAAGATTATCAAAATTATATCATTGGTTACCAAAATTTTATTATAAGTTACCAAACTAACATTGAAGGTTACCAAAATGTTATAAAAGGTCATCAAAATTAAAATTATATCAAAAGTTATCAAATTTTACTTCCAGTATAAAAATACAAATTAAATTATTAGTATTTATCATTCTTATAAAAAGTATATAAAAAATTATCAAATTTTACTTATATTATATCACAATCAAAATTAAATTTTTAATATTTGTTATTATTGTCATAATATTAAAAATTATTTATTGAGATAAATTTTTAGATATAAAAATTTACAAGTGCAATATGTACATGCCTAAAACTAGTAATATATATAAGTATGGCCATATAAAATCTTTTGAACTGTGTCGTTTACTATATTTTAAAATATCATTGTAAATATTTTTATTATCAATCATAATTGTTCAATTTATTAGGAATAAAAAAGTTGTTTTATCTTTAGTGTTTTAATTTTTTGTTGACTATTAAAATTGCTGAATTTAATTGATACATGAAAAGAACTAAAATTTACACAATCTTTTATCTTCATAATTTTAATAATAAAAGCAATAAGCTTTATGTTAATTTATATAAACTTTACATGTTAATGCAAATTTTGTTTAATATAAATTTTATTAATTTTATTCATTTATAAATCATACAATTATGTGTTAAATAAATAAAATAAGGAGTATTCCCATGAGACGCATGTGAAAATAAACGCCGATTTTTTGAAACATGTACAAAATAAGTAGGATCTTTTTAACCGAAGTGGTCCTAACCAATTCTGTCCGGACCGTTTGGCCCATTCTAATTCACATCTGGACCAAATCGAGCCCAAATGAATCCTGACCCTGAAAAATGAAAATACCGTACCAGAGAAGCTTCTCGTAAATACGACTTCGTTTTATTTCCCTCCCCAGATTTGAATTCAAGAACAGATCTATTTCCCCGGCGGCTTTCGCCTGAAACTCTCGCTGTATTATCCAAAGGAAAAACCGGAAATCCAAATAGATCTCCCCTTGTCTCAAAATACTTACTTTGAATCATCAAAAAGATAGTAATAGAAAAAATGAACTCTGTAAATTCACCAATAAGCTACGCCATCGACGACAAAGACCTAGATGACGCCGCTTTATGGGCGGTAATCGACTCCGCCGCTGCCTCCCACTCCTCCTCCTCCTCCAAACTTCGCAAAACCTTAGCAATTAAATATCCCAACTACCAATCCCCGCCCACCCCAATATCCCACCCCTCTCCCCCCCGAAAACTCCCCCAGCTAAAGATTCAAAACCCCAGCCATAAACTTTATTCCACTCCCAACACCAATCGCCGGCGTCTCGCTAACGCCAGAGAAGATGATCACCGGCCATACAAGATGGCTAGGTCTTGTGCTTCCGAGGTCAGCGAGACAAGCCCGATGGCAATGGTGCAGAGGACGCCAAAAACCTCTTTGCAGGAGTACCGGTCGCCGGAGATGTATTTGTCGCCGGGGTTCAGAGGAGTTGACGGTGTTAATGGTTCGGACGTGTCGCCGGGGAGTTGTGGAAGGAGCGAGGAGAAGGAAGGGATGAGGCATAGCTTGTCCGGGAAGTTTCCTTCGGTTGAGCTGTTTAAAGAATATCAGAATGCAGCCATAGCGGTAATTAAAGCTTTCACCATCTGAAATTTACCTTCAGCATTTGAAAAGAAATTCACATTACATTTGGAAAAGAAAATGATGTTGTCAATGAACAGATTTTGGAGAAATCTGATTATACTATGATATCTGGAAACCCTTTCATCAAAAAATCAGGTAAATTACCTCTGGTTCTCTTCTTTACTCTTTCATAATTGGCATTAAGTGGTAAAATGTGGTGTTCTTGTTATGTAGGTTGGAGGAAAATATCGTTTTATTTCAATGTATCATTCGAAATCAAAGACAAGAACATTGAATTTGATGAAAATCGCAATGTTCAGCGTGCTGAATTCGTGGTTCGGGCTTACATGCAGTATGTTCCTTTGAGCTCTTGAAGATTACAGTACTTATTTGATGGTTAAAGGTTACTACTTTAGCATTATTTTCCTTTATTCATGTTATTAGGGGTGGGAGGTTCTCGGATGGATGGGGCTCGTGTGAGCGGAGGGAGAAGAGATTTCTAAAACCCAACCATGATATCCCTAGCACAGCAGAAACTAGAGCTAAGAACAAAGCTTGTCAGGTAGATGTTTCCTTTTGACTACTCTCACATCACATTTGCAGGTTTCATTGTGACATTTTAAGTTTGCCTAAATCTCATACTATTTAGGAAACCATCCTTAAGCTAATCAATAATTAGAAATGTGGTCCTTGATCAATGGTTCCTTATCCTCTATGTTTCCCTTTCAATATTCTTCTCATTTTTCAATCTTAGGAAACCATAATCTACAAGTTTTATTTTTTATTGCCTAAGGCCTATTGGATCAGTTATTCATATCAATGAAGATTTATGCGCACAGCATCGTGAATCTTTGATATTTTTTTATTGCCTACTTTTTCTGGTTAAAGTTCTGATCTTGGTTAATATATTTGCAGGACCTGCTAGGGATTGGGGAGTATCGTCCTGGTGCAAGCCAATTTCAGCTATAAATCAGCTCCATGATCCAGTTAATTTCTGGCACCAGAAGAATCACAACCGAAGAGATCCACTAAATGAGAAGTTTTCCCTCCAACTTGAGCAAGTGAAAAAAAAAAAAAAAAGGAAAAGGGGAGAGCATTTCAGCTTAAAATGCATCTTAGGGTCAAGAATGGCTTGTTGCCCCTTTGATGACTGCATAATTTTTAGTCATTTGTCCTTCAAAGCTTGTCATTTTAAATGATAAAAGGAAATAAAAGAAAAGAGTTTCTTGATTCTACTGTTGATTCGATTTCACTCTCTGGAGGATCTCTGTTTTGATGATTGATGTGGGGGGAGCCACATTCCATTTTTACTGTTCTGTGCAGCATCCCTTTATCATCATTCATTGGTTAAAGAATCAGACATCTGAGGAATTGTGAAGCTTGGAGTAACTTGGTTACAGCAACTTACTGAACAGAGCCTGTGGACCAAAAGGAAGAAAGTTAAGTCCCTCGAAAAACAGGACGAAACAGTTTATGTACTCCAACCATTTCCTTTTCCTTCTCTTAGCTCTTTTTCTAATGTTATCTTTTGCTCTTCCTCCTATCTTAAAATAATATAAATTTCCTGTCATGACAAACGGCGTGCTGTCTTTTACAGAAATGGCTCCTGGTTCCCAAAAGGAATGTGTTCATAATGAGGTTCATCTTCTAATAACTGATGGTTTCATCTTGATATCAATCATAAAAAATCTAAAGTTTTAATTTCAGAGTTCTGATCTTACAGATATTGTTTCGTACGAGTTATCACGAAATCTTCACCTTATTCCGGGTCAAATATGTTGAGCAATTATTTCCATTCCCAAATCTTTTCATCTTCTAATATTACATTGCATTAATAAAAAGTCTACCAAGATGGGAATTTGCAAAATATGGGATCTTTAAAAAGAAATGGGGAAGGGGGTATCTTGGTTATATAAGAAAGGTGCCGCCACAGCCCTGCTATGGAGTCAAGAGCCTGGCCCCGCTTTGCAGTGCTATGGTCTCTTTTCTCCGCCACGGGACAAAAATTATTCCACTTCCTCTCCTTCCTTCTCCCTTCTGTCTCCTCAACAGGGGAGATGTTGCCTCCCTCACTCTCTTTCTTTCTCAGTTGTCATGTAATTTTGAGTTTGAAGTGAAAATTGCTCTTTGGCTTGGATTAGATAAAGCAAACTTTACTTGGTTTTTAATCTTCACCATTTTGATGCAAGCTTCCATTATTTTTGACCCTTTCTTTTAAGTTCTTGGCAGGGATTCAAATAACGGTTTAATAGTGGAATAGCGATTGTTAAATTACGGTAACGTCACCTTCCGTCACCGTTATTAAATAAAAAACGGTTAAAAAATTCATTCACAGCAAAAACGAAAAGTAACGATCGTAAAATAACGGCATAATGGACAATAGCGACAATAACTGATCGTTATTGCCGTTATTTCCGTTTTTCTACTCACGGATCTAATAGTTTAAGAAAAAAAATTTTAAGTCTGCAAAATAAAACAATAAACCTGCAAAAGTAAAAGTAAAAGCCAAAGCAAAAAATAAAGCTCACAATCTTAGATCTTTATCATCAAAATAAATTTAAAAATGAGCTAAAAAACAGATCAATTATTTCAAATTTCAACCATTTAATCGGTATTTTCGGCATTCAAATTCAAATTAACCTCAAGTTTTCAATTAATATTTAAGATCAAATAAAGTAAGAAAAGTAAGTTCAATTATCTTTTTTTTTTTGTAAAATTTTTGTAAAATGATCTGTTGTGAGAGTTTGAAAGACGAACGACGTATCCGTAGATACTAGACAAGTCAACAAGTGATAGTAAAAGGTATGCGAGAGAAAATAAGAGATGAAAAGAAAAAGAGATAAGAAGAAAATTCTAGAAAGCCAAGGAAGGCAGCACGAAGAAGAAGAAGAACAGAACAGAGTATTAGTGTTTCTAGAAAGGTCTGTCGTTTGTCAGAAAGAATTAAACAAATTTGGGATATTAAGCATGTGGAGAGAGATTGGATGGGGTGGGGAGGGATTGGTTGGGGTGGGATGTTGGGGGAAAGGTGGAGAGGGATTGGATGGGGATGAGGAAGGATTGGGTGTGGTGGGCTGCTTGGAGGGTGGGATTGAATTTTTTATTTAATTTTGTAATTAATTTTTAAAAATTTTTTAGATAAAATTTAATTAGTGGTTTTGAAAATTTATAATTAAAAAAAAAGAGATTAATAATTTAATATAATATATAGAGATTTTAAATGAAAATTTTTGATAAATTTTTTTGTATAAGTTAGATGAAAAATAATTAAAATTAAATATTATATTTTGATTGTGTTATATATTAATTTATAATTTTGTATCTGAATTTTAATATTTTTTTTGTTGTTTTGATATTTATATTATTGTCAATTCTTTTGATATTAGATTAATTCTTGTTATTTTTGTGTATAATTATTAAAAATTGTTTGTGATAAAAAAAATTTATATCAATTAGTGTATCAAAAAAATTAAGTTACTTAATAAATTTAGCATTTTATGATCTATTACTCTTATTAAGATTAAAAACTAAAAAATAAAAAAATATAGGTTTGAAAATTTTATTAAAATATAAGTTTGAAAACTTTTGATTTTTGAAATTTTTTTAGATAAAATCTAATTAAAGGGATTGAAGATTTATAATTAAAAAAAATTAAGAGATTAATAATTTAATATGATATATATAGAGATTGTAGATGAAAATTATTGATAAATTTTTTATATAAGTTAGACGAAAATTAATTAAAATTAAATATTATATTTTGATTGTGTTAGATATTAATTTATAATTTTGTATATGAAATTTAATAATTTTTTTGTTGTTTTGATATTTATATTATTGTCAATTCTTTTGATATTACATTAATTTTTATTATTTTTGTATAATTATTGAAGATTGCATTTTTTATATAATTATTTGAAGTTATTTGTGATAAAAAAATTAATATCAATTAGTGTATCAAAAAGATTAAGTTATTTAATAATATTCTTAAGATTAAAAACTAAAAATTAAAAAATTTAGCGTAAAATCAATTTTTAATGATGTAATAAGTAATATTAATATTTCTAAATATAAGTTTATTTTGTTTTTATACAAAATAGTAAGTATGCCACCACGTGAAGAGTTTTCGAATAAAGGAGTAGAGGGCGCGCCAAGTGATGATATAGGTTGGTATTTTGAAACACATGTGCCAAATACAAGAGGAAATATTTCATGTAAACTTTGTGGTAAAATTGTAAAAGAAGGAATAACACATTTCAAAGAACACATTGCTCATAAAACTGGCAATGTTACACCATTCCCCAACGTTACTGGTATGTTATATTTTTTTAATTCTTTTAAAATATTATTGTTAATTTTTTAATAAAAATTATAAAATTACATAAGCATGTGCAACTAATTTTTTTTTTTAACTATATTATTAATAGGGTATAATAAGAGAAAGTATGATGAAACTCTTTCAAGAAAGTAAATAAAAAAAAACTGACAACAAAAGGAGAAAAAATGAATTTTTATCACAGTTAATAAGGAAAGATGATTATGAAAGATTTATTGCTGAAGACATCGCTACTAGACAAGTCATGTGAGATAGTATCCAATCACAACATAAGTGGTACAGAAGACAAGAATTCAGACAAAGAACTAGTGGTTGGAGTAACATATATGAAGAATGACGAAGCTCTCATGATTCAGTTGTTGAATATTTTGAAGAAAGAACAAGAAAATCAACTCCAAATGAGTTTGAATTTTCATTAAGGGGAGTTATTCCTGAATTGGTTAGAAGTAAAAGTTCAAGATAACCAAAAGTAAGTGATTCATTTCTAAAGACATTAAGAAGAAAAATGGGTGAATCAGTATCAAAATTTTTGATATATAATCGACTTCTTTTTCAATTAGCAAATTCTCCATGGTTGCATAATTTGATTTCTGTGGCAGCAGAATTTGGCTAATATGTAAGACTTTCAACACCTTATGAGGTCTCGGATGTGTATTTAGAGTCTGAGTATCAACAAGTTCATAAATGGGTTAATGGATTAAAAGCTTATTAGAATGAATTGGGTGTCACTTTGATGTGTGATGGTTGGACCAATAGTTTGAATCAAATGTATATCATTAATTTCCTTGTTTATTGTAGTAAAGGGACCATTTTTTGAAAATCTGTAAATGTCTTAAGTGTTCATAGTAGAGATGCAAACTTTTACTACAGATTATTAGATGAAGTTATGGAAGAAATTGGAGAAAAATACATTGTTCAAATAGTCACTGATAACGAGGCAGCATTTAAGGCCGTAGGAAAAAGACTAATGGAGAAGAGAAAACATTTGTATTGGGCAACATGTTCAGCTCATTGTTTGGACTTGTGCCTTGTGCCTTGAAGATATTGAGAAGAAAAAAATGTGGTAAAGGTTTTGGATGATGCAAAGAAAGTGACTTGTTTTATATACAATCACATTTGGACTGTTAATTTGATGAAGAAATATACAAAAGGGAAGCAAATACTTCGTCCTGCTCTTACTCGATTTGTCACTTATTTCATACAATTAGAAGAAATAATGAGGCAAAATCAAAGTTTGAAAGAGATATTCAATTCAAAGGTTAGTACTTGTAATTAGTACAACTATTTAAATCTAGCATCTTTTTATGATATCATTGTTTTAAAATATTAATTTAAAATATATTACTCTAAAAATTTATTGATGAATATATAGGAATTTAAAGATTCAAAATGGAGACAACAAAAATCAGGACCTGCTTATAAAGTCAAAAAAATCATTTTGAAAAAAGATTTTTGGAAAAAAGCAGGCGATATATAAAAGTTTATGAGCCTTTGGTAAAAGTGTTGCGCCTTGTGGATGGTGATGAAAAACCAACATAGAGCTAAACAAGCAATTCAGCAAACTTATCGTTATTCTACTGAATATGAAAAAATTATTGACAATAGATGGAGTTTCATGCACTCTGACTTGCATTCAGCTGGTAAGTAAACCAAGAATATAGATGGTATTTAAAAAATATGCTTATTTTTTATACTTAAATTGCTTATATATTTATTTTTTATTACTTTAATATAATATTGTTATAAATTATGTTTAGGTTACTACTAAATCTACAATTTCAATTTGGAGTGGAACATTATGCAAATGTATTTAAAGAAACATTAGAAGGTATAAAAGCAGTTATTGAAAGATTAAAACCTTCGATAGATACTCAAATCAGAATGATTAATCAGGTTAGTATTTAATACTATTTTATAACTTTAACATTTATTTTATGTATTAAAAATTAAATTATTTTTTATTTATTCATTTATTATTGTATTTTCAATCGATGTAGTTGCTATTATTTCGAGACAAGCATTAATGAAATAAATAATAGCTTTAATTTTATTAGCCTTGACCATATTTTTGAAGATGATGATCCACTAACAAAATGGCTGTAAGAGAAAGAAAATCCTCTATTAGATGATCAAAACTCTGATTGATTGCCTGCAGATAATTCTGATAATGAAATGAATGTTGAACGATCACGTCAATCTCAAGAAAGGAATGTGTCTCATTCAAGTTCAAGTCCGACACCAAGTCAGAGTAATGATAGTGGTAGTTTAAGTTCAAATGATGATGGTGATGGTGATGGTGATGGTGCGAATTTTGGTGATAATAAGGATGCAAATCGACTTTACAGCCTACTTGGAGGAGAATTTGGGCTTGCTGCTACTGGTGGACTTTTCATTAATATGGCAGAATACGAAGAAAATCCATTTGTTAAATCTATTGAGGGTCAGAGTGCACGTACAACTCGATCAAAAGAAAAAACGAAGAAGCACCACTATGATATTTCTAGAGATTTTTCATCTTCAAGTGGGAGATCAAATTATAGTAACTTTGAGTATAGTGAATCATCTGCTAATACTCAAAGACATTACTATCCACCAGAACAACTTAATTTTCGACCTCCTCATGGTTATCCACCTCCATATGGTTATTATCCACCTAAAATGTATCTTTCACCTCTTCAAATATATCCTCCACATCAAAATTATCAAGAACAAAGGCTTTAGGGATGGAGATGAAGTCAACTTGGCTCTCAAAGTGAAGATAGAGAATCTGATCCTCTTCATCATTCTACCATGTGATAAAATTTAAAATATATATCAATAATTGTAGTTGATGGAATTTAAAATTATTATATTTTTAAGTTTGTAATTTTATTAAATTAAATGCTTGGTATTTAACATATTATGTTTTGTTAATATTTGATTTATCTAGAATTAATATTGAATATGAACTTGACCAAGAAAAATTTTATGGATAAATCAAATATGAATACTTTTTATAATCTAAATAAAATTATGAATAATTTTTTTAAAAAATAAAAAATATAGAATGTTATAAATTATTTTTAAAATCATTGAATAAGAGTTTTTATAATTATAATTATAATTATAATTATAATTATTACATTTTATAATAAATTATGCAAAAAAAAAATTCACGATTGTGATGACCGTAATGATCGTAATTATTTTTTTTATATCTAAAAACATGATCGCGACCGTTATTTAAATCCATTATCCTTGGTATCCCTTGTTGCTCTTTCTTTTCGTTTCACAATGGAGCTCAGCGGTGGAAATGACATCTAACTCTCTATCTGAGGTGACTTCTCTTAGTACATCCATAAATCTTTGCAGATTTCCAGTGTACTTGATGTGAAAGATCATGGCTCAACGAGTAATAGCTACTTGTCTCTCTCCTTCAAACTGATGGTTCCTTCATCTGGTTTTTATTCGCTTTACCGAGGAATTTGACAGGATAAATGAAACATTTTGTGGATGCAGGAAGAAGGGTGGCCTCTAGGCCTTCAACCATTGAATGCAAGAATTGGGTTGGTGAGAAATCGTGATTTCTCAGGTTCTGTTTCATTTAGTACTTTGCTTACTGCTTCTCCAAGTTCCTCTAGCATTTCTTCTTCAGATCTTGATACAGAGGTCAGTCTTTTCTTCTCCCTGAAACAAAGATTTTCCTTTACTATTTGACAGAAGAAAAACCACTAACTTCCAAGTTCCTCTAGCATTTCTTCTTCAGATCTTAATACAGAGGTCAGTCTTTTCTTCTCCCTGAAACAAAGATTTTCCTTATCTTTTAGTATTTGACAGAAGAAAAACCACTAACTTGTAGTCAACTTGTTTAAGAAACATTATATCAAGCGAACAAATGCCTGATTTTTCATTTTCCATTTTCCATATAAATGTACAAAAATAATCAACAGAACCACCTGTGTTTTAACTGAAGTTCTAACTGTAACTACAGTGACTACCTTTTTCCTTGTTTGTTCTATTCCTGAATCCTGAAAACCAGACTGCAGAGAACCATTCTATACATGTTTACTTCTGCTTTCCATATTGTAATGGGTTTTCAGTTCCACTTCCGTGCCCTATTCAATTAAAAGCAAAGCTTGAAGCAGCAGCTTTACTCCCTTTTCACATGGTCTTATTATCATGGTATTTTGACTGCATTATGTTCTTCAATTGATCCAGCAAAGGCTAAATCTCTCTCGCTATATTAAAATTAATATTAATGTGGTTCATCTAGTACTCTATTTTTAACAAGATGACGACAAAAAGGAAGATGCCCAAAAGCTCTCGGATCCCTAGCTGTAGCTGATTGATGTGTTTAAAGTGGTTTGTCATGCTAGGTAAGGTGACTTTGGGTCCCAGACAGCATGGTCTAACAGATCATTAAACAGTCACTTCCAAGCTTCAGCAATTATTCCTGCATGCATTAATCTTGAGACCTCGTTCCCATCTTTGCTTTGTCCTATTGAGTTTGGAAGCAAAGAAAGCAAATAGAGTTTACACATGTTATATATATCATGTCACCTTTCCTTCCCATTCCTTCCCTTCCATTTTTTTAGAGACGAGGAATTTCGTACTCAGAACCACCTCAACAATATAATTTACTTAAATTGATTTAGCAGGTTTTTTTTTTTTTTTTTCTTGAAAATGATTTCAGTCCGCTAGGTCTTTCTTCCATGACAAAAGCATCTCTCTTGGAAGCCTCGTAGGAATTTCTAGTCTTCTAGAGCTCTCAAGGAGATCAACCAGGAGAAAAACCACAGAAACCTCGAGAGATCAGAAGAATAATTTTAAGTCTAGACCTTGGCTGTTCTCATTTTGTTCAAAACTAAGCACTGATGCTGTGGACGCTAACAAGGATCAGTCTCTTGGTCACTTTCTTGAAGTAGAAAGGAGAGCCGCCAACATTTCCAGGAGGAATCAAATCCCTGCTGCTACATGGAGTGCAGAATATGGTAGGAAATCTGACAGAGATCTATTGGAACGTGGCAATGGGCATGGAGTTCCTTTATTGCTTTCATGTTTGTGTGGACAACTTATCGAATGAGGACTTTTCACCGAAACATTTACTATTTTTCTTTTTTAAGATTTATTCTCCTTCTCCATTTCACCTCCATAGATTGAAACAAAAAAAAAACAAAAGACATTCCCAGGATCTTACTCTTCTCATTGGATACAGTTAGTATAGATCAAATCAAACCAAACATGCCTCACTGATCAGTCACAACTCTCCTTTTAAGGGATGCAAAGCAAAATGCAGTACAATAAAATAAGTTCACAACTAATTAAAGTTTAAATAATTGATAATTACGAGCATTCACTGAAAATTTGACTCCATTATATTAGTCCACTGCTTCTTCATTCCATAGAGCGGACTGCAATAACAAGATCCAAGCGATTTGAACTTTGCAAGAGAATTTAATGTCACTTGTGCTCTCATAGCTCATCATAATCAATATAAACCACTATTAAAGGATGGAGTTCAAAGAGCATACCAAATATACTTTTCATTTGGAAGCTATATGAACATTGGCAGCTTTGCTGGTTCATCAAACTACACGACAGAAAAGAAGATCCATGGCTGTTGCATGTTAGAACTTTTCATTTCCTTCACTGCATTCAGCAGGCACTTTTCCTGCACTGCGGCTACCCATTTTCCCAAATGTGCTGATGGCTGATAAACCCTTGAAACTACTGCTTCCTTCACTGAAATTGGACTTCCTTGATTTAATTGGCTTAGAGGGACTGAATTCTGCTCCTGTATCAATGTTGGTGATCTTTCCACCACTCAGCCTTGTAGGACTAGCTTCTGATTCTGATTCCTTATTGTTGATTTTGGCAACAACTAGTTGGGTGATTCCCCTGCGGCAGAAGGGACAAACTAGGACTACAGGAGATGCTGTTAATGGGTTGGGCTTCTTGTGGCAACACAGAGCTAAGATGCAATGAGCGCACATCTGGTGACCACATTGTCTAATCTCTATCGCGCATAGCCGGTCAAAACATATGCAGCACACATCTACATCACTGGCCTGTTAGAGAAGATTCGCCAATGAATTAAAAACAAAAAATATATACATATTCCTAATAGAATATTACTAACTCTGTATCCCCTGCACGTTGCCACTGAAGTTATTGTTTCTTTCGAGCCATAATTAAGCCAACAAATTTCCACAATGCAATATATAATTAAAGCAGCTGATGATGCTCCCATCTCATTCATCTTGGGCATATTCACATATGATAACTTTTCAATCCATACACTTTAATTTCACTCTGTTTTGATGTAAAAAAAAAACAGCTATCATCCTTGTTGAACTTTAAAAACTTAAGCATAAATACTGTAAAATCCTACATTGGGTTTAGCTTTTAATTTTTAAGTAATCTTTACATACAGCTAAGTTAAAGAAAATTAAGTTGCAAACAGTATTACCTCAGCAGCAGTACCGTCAGCTTCAACCTCATAATCTGAAGCAGATGTAAGTGCATGGATTGTCTCCTTCAAAATGGCCTTCTCCCTCTCTCTGTTTGCTTCCATTAAGGCCTTTTCCAACACTTCTTTTGTGTCTGGATTAAGATCGCTTATGAACCTTAAAGGAAATGGCCAAACAATAGGTTCTGCGGATGCAGGGTTCAATAATGCAGCACATGCCTCATGTCTGTGTTTCATAGCAATTATATATGGTATTCTCCTGCAGAAATACAAAACTTGGTACATTTTTTTTAAACCTAAAAACATATTTAATTAAGATTTGGACGACCACATGCCCTAAACTTTTTTTTTTTGGTTGTTATTGATAACAAAAACATTAAAATCCAGGCTTTCAATGACAATATAAACTAATGCCTATGTTGTTGAATGGAAGTCCAATAGTATAGTTGCAAGTAATATCCAAATCAGAAAAGAAATGATTTCACAATCTGCTATCCTAAAAATTAAGATAAAAAAAGAAAAAGAAATATTGAATTTCCCACAATTTTGAAGATTTGAGAGTGCATATAATCTTTACTATTGATTGAAAGTTTATATACATGATGTATAACAAGCCTGAAGTTTAAATGTTAAGCTGAAATGCAGGGTTTTTTTCATAAAAGTCAAATTGAGATTTTAACAATGAATTCTATATCCAATGTGCCAAGAATCAAGATCTCTAAAGTGGATAAACAAAAGGTTTAGTCATTTTGGCCGATCAGACATCATCGGTCCATAATATGATAATAATGCAAAAGTCATGATTGAAAATTTCTGTCTATTTCATCTGTAAGAAAGAAAGAAAGAAAGTAACAATTGAATTTCTACATATGCTTACCCATATGAATCTGGTTGAAGCCTATCTGCTCCCCAAGCAAGTAGTTCCCGGATACACTCGGTAGAACCCCCACGGGCAGCAAAATGAAGAGGAGTGCTCCCCGGGTAGCTGCAGAGAGGCCTAAAATCAATCCAAATTCATAACTGAGAATTATGGATAAATAAAACTTAATCAAGATAATTACCCATTTCCACCAGTTGAAGCACAAACAAGAGCCCCATTATCTAAGAGGGCATGAACACAATTAGACCATCCTTCTCGAGCTGCCAAATGCAGTGGAGTAGCACCATTTTCATCTCTTATGTTCACAAATCTTGCAAAGCCCCTACAAATTTGCAGTGCAATCAAATTCAATCAGACAATAATCACATGGTTCACCAATTTGCAACATTTTTTTTAGTGTCAAGAGGGAAAGACCAAGAATCTGCAAGGGGACTGCTATGGGCAGCAGAAAGAAGAGCTTGAAGGCAATCAAAATGACCATAGTAAGCAGCATAATGCAAGCAGGTTCTTCCTTGAAGTGAATCAAACGTCAATACCTGATTAACAATTATAGACACTACCATGATCAATTTCTTGGTAACAGTCAAAGTAGTAAATTTCAGCAGAAACAGAAACTTGCCATACATATGCTCCACTCTGGATAAACTTTTTCACACAATCAGTTTTCCCATGCATTGCAGCCAACATCAGCGGGGTCTAAGCCAATCACAAGCAAAACAGTTCATGAGATAGAAATCAAAAGACAACCAATCAGAAAACATGCAAAAAAAAAAAAAAAAAGGATTCCCTATCTAAACATGTACCTGTCTATGACGATTCAAGATATCTGAATTGGGACATCGATCTAAAAGAAATGAAAGAATCTGCAGCAATGATCAAACCAAACACCAAAACAAAAGAATCCCAGAAGGATGAAGGAAATAATCAACATTGTCCCAAGAAAAAAAAATTGAAAGAAAATCCCAAAATCCAGCAAAATCAATTAAGAAACACCAAGCCCACCTCGATCTGACCATTTATGGCTGCCACATGCAAAATAGACAACTTCCCATATCTAGTGGTCCTCGTTAAGGTACTTTGGTCTGCTTCAACCATTGCCTGAACCATCTCCAAATCACCTGTCTGAACAGCACCAAGCAACGCGGTCTCATGGTTTTCTCTACAACTAAGCTTTTGACCCATCACCTCCTCCCCGCCTTATCTGTTACTTAGCAAATGGAGAACTGTCCAGGTCCCAGCAGAGATTCCTCACGCTCGACCTCTGAGTGGGGTGGTGTAGATGGTGATGGTGATAGTGGGAACAACGACTGAGTTTCTGAAAGTGAAATGGGCTTATCTATCTATTTGTACTAGTAACTAGATACTGTGTAGCTGATGCCTCGTAGTTTGGTCCGAGATTTTGGGCAATTATCAAATTAAATTTCGGTTCGGACGTCATAAGATTCTTTTTATGCAATGTTCTTTAGTCTTTGTTGGAATTAAAATTTTTACATGGTAAATTGCCTTTAATGGTGTAAAACAGTTTTGAAAGATTATTTGTCAAAGATAGAGATCATAATTGGTTCTTTTTCCCTTTTTTCTTTTCAATTTTAAAAAGTTTGCATTTATATTTTATTCATGAAAAATAGCATTAATTTTTAAAAGGTTTCTAATTTCTATAGGTGAATTAATTTGTTGAAATCAAATAAAATCGGCATTAAAATAGAGCATGCCAATTGGTGAAAGTGAGACAAAAAAAAATGTACAAAACATTAGTCAAGGAAATAATATGTTTATTATTTGAAAAATATGGTGAAAATTATTAGTGAGATATAGTCAATTTTAATTAGGGAAGGCAAAAATATCCGAAATCGACGGGTTTCGATCCGATTTGATTCGATTTTTTAGGGTCAATTTTTTTTTAAAAAAATCAAGTATCGGGTCGGATAGCATAAAAAAATTTCGGATTCAAGTCGGGGTCGAATTTTAGACAAACCCGACACGATATATATAAAAAAAATTTTAATTATTTTTTTAATTTTATATTTAATTTTATAAATTTTTATATATATTTAATTTTATATTTATATTTAAAATAATATTTTATTAATTTCGAATCGGATCGAATCGATTTGATTTTATACAATGTCGGATCGAATATTAAAAATAAAAAAAATTTATTGAATCGAGTATGAGTACAAATTTTATATGTTTAAAATCAGATCGGGTTCGAGACGAGCAAAAACCTGCTCCGACCCTACCCGTTACCATCACTAGTTTTAACTTGTTTTTTTTTTTTACTAAAAAGTTTTTACTCGCATTACATTATATAGATTCATGGTTTAAACATGAGCTAAAATCATCACAAAAACTTTAGTAAATCATTTGAAAGAGAATAAAAAAATATAATTCCAATTTACACCCTAAACTATATTAGCTAAAAAATTCACACAAAAATTTCGCTTTTCTATATACAAGCTTGGAGAATAAATCTAATCCATATTCCTTAAATCATGTTTAAAAGAAAGAAAGAAAACTAAAAAAAAAAAAAAAATTTATTTCCCTCTCGTTTTTGGAGACAAGTAGCTTTCCTTCTTTAGACTTTTTTCCTCATTGTCACCGTCTTGGCATCAACAAGGTTTAACCTTTTTCTTTTTGGTGTTTTGTGTCAATTAACTACAGCTAAAAAGCAAAGGTTCTCTAGCAAAGGAGTAATTAATTTCCATGTTTTTTTCAATATAGGAATTAGGAGGTAAATAAATATTTTTAGAAAATTATTACTCCAAGCCAAACTCACGATCGTAACGAAATTAGATTACCTTGGAAGGAGATGGGATAATGGATGGCAATGACATCCAGAACTTGAAAAAAAAATAGTTATACTAAATCAAGAAAGCCATAAAATCAATTAAAAATTTGTCTTAATCACATGCTTCCTTTAACTTAAAAATTGATTCTTTCTATTATGGATCTGAAATCGACTCCAGAACTGAAAATAATGAGTTGAAACTCTCTGATTGCAACCTAAAAGACAAAAAATATTCCCTCTATATCTTTTTTATACTATGATAATGTTCTTTAGAAACTAATTTTTCTTTGTTTATAGTTCGATTATTCGCAAAGTAGATAGCGCCGGAATCTTTTAAAGATTAAAAAATCGAAAGTCATCAAACAGGAAAGAGAAAAAAAAAAGATTAATCAAATAGAAATTAAAAACCATGAACAATGGCAAGAACAGTACTCTTCCATCCAATTTAGAATCCGTAAACAATATTGTTACGCAAATAACTCAATGATGAAATAAAAAGAAAAAAAAACAACAACCCTAAACCCATAAAGAAGAAGTGATCAAAAGAACCTTTACTTGGAGGAAAACCACTTGCCATTGCGCCAGTCGACATGATTTCTCAACTGAGAAACAGGGTAAGCAATCTTATCCCCGGTGGTATCAAAATAAACCCAATACTTCAACCCTTGTTTCCCAGTAATATTCCCAACCCACCAAGCATCATTGCGAAGGCATCAATCCTTTCACGATAATAGAAAATCCGAGTAGCTTCCCCTACGGCTCTTGGTGGCACTGGTCGGACCTCGTCAGCCGAAACTATCTCAACCAAAAGGCGATTTTGATCTTCTTCTTCCACTAGGTTCTTGTACTGCACCTTATAAAGAGTATTGTCATTCAATGCCGATGCCACGGTGGCTTCGAAGTATGATCCCAAGAACCCCTTTTCCTTGCTGCATACTTCAACTTCATCTCCTTTACAAAACAGCGCCATTAATTGTTGCACACGAGAGAGAGATAGAAAAAAAAAAAAAAAAAGGAAGTGCTTTGAAAAGAAAAATTTGTGAAGAAAAATTGTGATCTCCAAGGTTTTTTATATATGCTGAAAGGCGGTTTAAGTTTTGCTAGTTATAAGAGGAAAAGGATTTCAATGGAAAAGCTGGATTCCAGCCATGTTTATATGTAAATATATATGTATTATATTCAAAACCACATCAATGGGCCATCGCATAATCTATTACTTACAATAAAAGGAGTCCCCGACTCCAATTATAAGTACACGTACTCATCGTCAAAAAGAAAAAAAAATAGAGGATAGATTTAGGCATACAGTCGTTTGGAAGAAGTTTTTAAAAGGTGTCTGTCCCTTTCTTGATTCATGTTCGGGTCGGCAATGAGCATTGACTCTATTACAACTGGTTCTTCACCACTTTTTCATTCTTTCCTTCTCTCCTCAACTCAAACAGTTGTTTCAAATTTCAATCTCTAGTCAAAGTCTCCATTTGGGAACATTTCCTCCTCGCACCTTCAGAATAGCACCCATGCATGCTATTCTTTGGAATTGGTAAGCTTGGTAGTTGATGTCCCACCATTTTTGTGGTTGCATGTTTTAATTGAGAACAAAAAATGCTTCTATACATATGCATGTGTTGCCCCAAAATCAAATTGCATGTTTTTATTGAGAACAAAGAATGCTTCTGGAAGTTTTTATATTCAAGTTTTTTGTGGTTGCATGTTTAATTCAGAATAGATCTGGCAACTGCGCATTTGAAAATAGTGATGACTCTAGGAATAACTTGAATGGGGATAGTTCGAGGTTGAGCGGAGTCGGTTTTATTGGCACAAATATTGTCCATAGAAATTACAAAAATGTGCAAGGATTTGGAGCAGAAAGAGAACATTTTGTCCGCAATGTTAAGGAAATCTAAGTTGGATATGGCAGAGAAGCAGTTGCTTTTGAAGGAGGTTAAAGTATCAAAGGCAAAGAAGAAGCAAGCTGAACTAGAAACAGAAAGGCGGAAGGCAGTTTCTGAGTCTAGACATGAGAGACATTCATTGAAAGGTATTTTTGCTAACCAAACCGTTTCAAAATTGGATGTTTCCTTGGGTGTCAAAAAGGAGTCAAACTCTGGTAAAACCAGATCACAGCCCACTGATATTATTTTGGAATATGACTATTCAGAGTTGAAAACAGATCCAGCAGTTTTTTCTCTTCTTCCTGATTATCATTCTTCGGAAGGGAGTGAGGATTTGGGTAAGAACAATTTCTCTATAATTCTCTTGATCACCAAGTATTGTATATGAATAGTATATGAGATCCAGTCAAATGCTTAATGTGTTAAGATCGTTATCATTTCTGTATTAGATTTTTTTTTTCTTGTTCTGTGTTTTTATTCCTTTTCTGTCCTTGCATTTGAAGTAGTGACAGCTGATGTGAAGAGAATGGAAGGTTGGGTTTGAGCAGCAGCAGAAAAGTATGAAATTGTAATTGAGAAGCAGCACCTTTTGAAACTGGATGCCTTTGCAGAATAAATGAGATTGGAAGATGAGAAGTTAAATGCTTTTTCGTTGGCGTCTGCTGAGCATGGAACTAGAATCCAAGTAGCTGAAGTCCCATGTTAAAGGACTGAACCAGGATGTGTCACAGCTTAGACAGGACAATATGAATGTTAAACTGTGTTTTTTTGTTTCGGATTAATAATTGGGGGTGGTTTTATATTCGATTATTTTGTTTTCATTGCAATTCAACAATCAGACGATGCAGACCTCTCTCAGTTCTCCATATGATTTCCTCATTACCCGTTCGTTGCAAGCCGGAATCCTCTTCTCCAGTTGAATAACCACATTTGATTCACCTCCATGCCTTTTGCTTTTACGAATTCAAGGTTCTTTAATTTCTTTCTTTTCTTTTTATTCAAAACTTTAATTACTTTTTTAGTGTTTTAAACTTTTAATATAATTAATTGTTTTTTACCGTGGTTTCTTAAACGGTGGCAGTTTTGGTTAGAGATGAGGAGGTTCACATGGTGGTAATGCCAAGTAAACAAAATGTAATTTAAAACTTAATGGATAATGAGGAAATTTAAGACTATAAAATTCCTGCTTAAAGTTTGTACAATTCAACTGGATTTGTATAAAATTGCATTACCTATTTGTGCAATTCATACGATTCCTATGGATTGTGCAATTCCTATGGATCTCTAGGACCTTAAACAACACAAAATCTAAACGGGTAATGAGGAAATCATTTGTGCAATTCAACTGGATTTGTGTATAATTCCTGCTTAGCACAAATCCAGTTGATGCTTAGTGAAATTGCACAAACGCTAAGCATCTGAAATTACACCTTAAATTAAGCATCCCTAAGCAGTAATTGTTTCAACTGGATTTGTGATGTAATTTAAGACTTTAGACTTTAAGAGGTGTCATGTGGAATTTACTAAGCTGATTATCATCCTGTGATATAGGCAATATGATAAATACTCAATGTCACACATTTCTACAAAATATGGGATAAATAGATGGAATATATTTGG